CTCGAGTTATAAGTCGTCCTCTTTTTCCCTCTCTACGCTCTCACAACTATTCTCTCGATATTCGGTACTCTACCTCGCTCCGTTCTCTCTGCCCGACATGCTGGCGCTCTCGCGCTCTCGCTCCTTAGTCTCTTCGTGTTTTCCGTCCCCTGCTTTTCCCTCCAGGAGCTCTCGGCTTCATTTCGCCCGCACTTACTCACTTCCTCCGCTCGCCTCGCCCCCCTCGCCTCGCTCCCTCCCTCTCTCGAATTCTAACGTCACCCTTTTGTCAACTCTCTTATATGAAACTGTTAACTTCTTCCGTTTTCTTTCTCAGATGACACATCTTCTCGCTCTCTTGACTTCGTGTGATAATCACTTATCTTCATATCATTTGCGTAAGACGTTCTCCGCCTTGTTGGATGTGCTCTCTCTCTCTCTCCCTCCTGCTCTCTCTCTCATTTCTCGTTACCTCTGTCTCTCCACTTCACAACTACTTGCGCTCTGTTGCTGCGCTCCTCAGCGTCCTATCTCTCTCTCTCTCCTATCGGAGACTCATTTCCGCCGGCTCCTCTATTCATTGGAGGTCAACCAGGTATTCTTTTCTCTCGCTCCTTCCGTCTCGCTCTCTCTTTTGGCTCTTCTGTTCTGTCGCTCGCCCGCGCTCCCTCTCTGTCGCTGCGCTCCGCCCTCCCTCTCCTCTTCCACTCTTTTTTGCCTCTTCGCGCGGTCGCTCGTTACGCTCTCTTCTTAACGCGTGTCCTTCTGTTCTCTCTCACCTCTCTGAAAAATCGTTCGGCTTTATGTCTCCTACCTGAGACTAGTAGGCCTTTTTATAGTAGCTTTGATGCGATGATATCAAGTCACCTGCTGGAAGTGGTCTGCCTCGTAGTCACCTCTCCACTCTAAGAAGGAGAAAGGAAGCTGAGGTCACTTAAGATACTCTCGCTCTCTCGTCTCTCTCGCCTTTCTCGACTGCTGTCTTCGCATCTTGCTCGCGTCACTACTCTCTCTCGTCTATTTCGCTTGATCGCTCGATCATTCCGCTCTCCACAACTCTGCCTCTGTCTCAGATTTTTTTTGTGTAAGTCCATACTCTCTCTCTTTGTGGTGTGCTTGTGTTTTGTCTCGTAATGGTTGTCGCCTATGATCCGACAGTAGTGACACATACACTCCTCTGCCTCGCCTCTCTTGGTCTCGTTTGTAGTGTTTTACCCGTGCTCTCGCGCTCACGCATTTCTCATATCCCTTCTCTCTATGACTTCTTCTCACGTTTTACGGTCTAGCTCTCCTCGCATTCTCGCGCCTTGGATCTCCGCTCTCACTTCTCGTTGATCCTGGTCCGAGTCACTGTTATCACCACATGCTCTTTCTCTCTCTCCAAATCTGCGTTGGTCGGTGTGTCTTTGTCTATCGTATGCATCGTCTCGCCTGATGGTACTTGCAGGTTCTTCTATCTTTCAATATGTTGCTTTGGCTATTGGTTTGCTGGAAAATCGTAATGTATTTGGCCCGCTTGCTATATGGCGGTAGCACTTTGTAACAATCACAACACAAAATGGTACGTATTTGTATCACTCTAGATGCTTCTAAACTTTAAAGGACACTTCTTTTTCAAACCATTGTTAAATTGACATTATACTTAACCTCAAATTTTCGCTGGTTTTTTTATAGTTTTCCCTAGGACTCTTAACCACTATATGACAGGGCTTTTGGCAGGACTACAATAACGTCACACTGTCAGCTGAAGCGCGGGAAGAGGCGAACGTAGTCTTATGGGGATCGAGCATCCTGTTTGTAGTATAATCCGTTTTTGTCTCCGGGCCGGCTTTGACTGCCGTTATTTTTTCACATAGCGGTATATATTTTTATTGTTTTCGAACGGAAATCGTTTTTAGTTTAACGGATTCCTAAGCATACTGGGTTAGACAGTCCATTTCGAGTCTCAAACATCGAGGCGTGAGGGCTCAGTATTATCTTGTAAATTTGCTTTTACGGTGCCGGGATTCACCCTACGATTTTTATCCCGATATCTGCGGGTGTGTCTACACAAGATTTTGCGGTGGGCCGGAGCCCTGTTACTTGGGGCCCGCAATCTACATGCCAGGACACATCGGCCTTAGTGAACTATCTGTGGTGTAGCCCGTGTCGCCCGCGCTGTACAGGATGATGTCCGCTTCTGCACGGGATATACTCACAAGGATCGGGGCCCTGTAATAACGTGAAATTGCTCAAGGTGGGTAGGTGTTTGACGAAGTTTCCAGTAACAGGTAAGGGTGTTAGCCCCTGTGTGTTGGTTTTTTATTAGTTCTTATTTTATCTTATTTCTTTCTAATCTATGTCGTAGACGGGCTGTAAAACAGATCACGACAAAGGGCCCACGTAAGACAGCCATTCGTCATTGTTTCTTATTCAGGTGATGAAAGGATAAAAAAACGTCCTCTATGAAAACTCTTAGTGTACTCATAGTAAATATTAGTTTCGCGTGGGATTTTTTGTATCTCTACTCATACTGTATATATTTGGTAGATTATATGGCATATTTTTCAGATATATATTTTCGCTTGAGTTAAACTACTTATCTGGTTCCATTAGGTTAAATATATATAATTTCAAGATTTGGTGCTTGACCTTTTCTTTTAGGGCTCTATTTGGGCCGGTTATACCGTGATCTCTTTTTTGAATGTTCAAGGCGTTTAACATTCTTCAAATTTCGTGATATATTAAAATCATTATTGTATATAGGTATTATTTATATAGTGGTTTCTCGGTTACTCACTTTGGGATACGCGTCTTGCTTGTATTATGAATATGTTTATACGAATATTGTGGGATCCTCGGCGTCGTTTTACTGTGCTATGTTTTGTGTGAGCGTTTACAGAGAAACTCTTCAATCCCATCGTCAATAATAGTTCATATCTCGTAACATTCATTGCGCTGCAATGCCATCGCTTTCTCAGTTATTTTTTTTACAAAGTATACTTGCGATTCACTTCAAGAGTGCGTTCTTATTCTCCTTTTACTCAGTTACAAAGCAACTAAACAGTGTCCCTTTCAAATTTGAAATACCAGATTACACTACAATGGAACGGGAATACCTAAAATAATATAGAAAATCTAGGAAATAAATAATATATGTATCATATAAAATAAAATTTGTATCTAACTTTATATAACAGTATAAATTCCCTGTTTATTATAACAAGATTATAACCATGTACTTTATATGTGTAGGTTAGTTAGCGATATAAGGGAGACCTAAACAAATTAGAAAATATTAGCTGTTATACTACATTCGGGTCAGGTTTCATTTAATGAAATCCATTAGAAATGAGAAAAGGAATTGGCATTTTAGGTTGCAATTTCGTCAAAATCCGTTCTGCCAGCTGGGTAACCGTGAGGAAACGATAATCTCTCGATTGTTGTTCGTAAAGAAATAGTACGGACGCGTCTCATTAATAAAAATTCAACAAATTTGCAAGTAGCCAATAAAATGAGTGGGTGGAGCGATTTGCGGTGACGCACTCGTCAAATCGACGTATAAAATATATTGCTGTTTATTTAAATGTTTTTTGTCCGCATTCCTTTCATAGACACAGATCCAGCAGATGTACTGTACCTCAGGGCTCAAAGTAGCGAAATGACATACATGAAAAATTAATTTTATTTCATATTTTAGACGTCTTTATAACTACCTTTGTATCTACTGAATACGGTTTAGAAGATGGTTTAGAAGTAACGAAATGAGATATACATATAAAAAAATTATATTTTATATTGTAGATCGACTTACTTTAAGCACCGATAGAAAAATGAAAATCCGCGGAAATGCGTTGTTTCACCAGTATGCAGTGATCTTCTTCCCGACCTTTGACACAGATCAATGAATAATATCTATCCTTATCAACTTCGCGATCGTCAATAAATGCTATAAATAAAATTAAAAAAAAATTGTCAATAAAGCATAAAAACGACAACTAAACCAACCTAAAACCTAAAAAACAACCAAACAAAACCAACAAAACCCACTAGAGCCATACCCAATAAAAACAACCAAACCAAACCAACTAAAACCAAACCGAAAGTATGTAAAAAAGTTGAGAATACTATGGAAAACTTCGAAATATTGAAGATTTACCATTACACCGCCCTTATGATAAATTTCCGCGGAAAAAGTTATATAGAAAAGTTATAACAAATTATTAATCAAACAAAAATATGTAGCTTTTATCTTCCTATCACATTTTGGCACTTCTAAACCCGGAAAAATCAATGAAAATTATTGTGATAAAAATATATTTTCGAACAAAAATTAGTTCGCATCGTTATATTAAATGTTTTTACGTCATTCTATAATGAAAAAGCTATTAAAAACACCGTAAAGCTTTAAATTTTAGTTAATATTTTTATTTATTATTTTCCCCTGTAAATATAAGCGCGAACATGGCGGCAGCAGAAGAAAATTTTTGGAAACTGGTAGAAGCACATTTTCTAATATGCGCACTGATAGAAGCTCTATATTTCTGATATAGGTATATTTTAACTACTTTACCAGGGATGGGTAGACCTGTAAAAAATCTTAAATTAATTATGAACCAGTACTTAAAATTTATATAGTCCTGAATGCCTACAACTTTTAAAGATGTAAGAAATAAAATAAGATTATGCTATATAAAATAAAGATTTCCAAAGTAGCTATATTTTTTTACTAAATATGCATTTTACTAAATATGACATTAATTTATCATAAAAAACTCCGTTACATGTTACATGCATTGAGGGTAGGTCTCAAGGTAGAGTCTTCTTCACTGTGGCTGCAAGGGATGATTTTTTTTGGCCTGATATGGCTCGACCTTAAAAAACATAAAATTGACATATAAATCAAGAACTGATCAAAATCATAAAAATGTTTTGCGGAACATCCAATTCTCAACCATTTTCTTCTATTTATAATCGTTTAGGCAACCAGTAATACATCAGACGAAAACCGCTCCAATCAGATGATTTTGACAGTAAACAACAAGATTAAAGAGAATTCCTTTGTTTTTCAAATGAATACCGTCGTGTTTTACGCCTTTATCTAAATTTTGTCTAATTTTTGTTAAAAAGTCGTCCAAAGAATAATCTAAGCTGATCAAACTTAATAGTAGTTATTATATCAATTAATAAGGTAAGTTTTAATCCTTGAAAAAATATGAGTGTACATAAAAATATAAAAATCTTTAGTTTTCAACATCCATAATAAAATGGGAAGAATTTTTCTGGAGCATATGGGCGGCAATCGATTATTTTGTTGCGCCAGATGCGACACAAATCTAACTAACCGGTCGGAACTAATTAGTACCCGATTTACCGGAGCCACTGGGAGAGCTTTCCTTTTCAATCGAGTAGTAAATTTAACGTACAGCGAGGTCCAGGATAGGGTAATGCTTACCGGCCGTCATATGGTACGTATTAACAATTTAATACATCCTAATTATAGAAAATTACATGAGACGACATATACTGGGTGGCGCCTCTCATATGAGTCGGAGGCTCCAAGGAGAATGACCAGTTGAAGTGAAATTTTGGGAGCATATGTATTGGGTACATATATCGTCGGCTTTATGACGAAAAGGCGTATCTCGATTTTTGCTACTTTTCAGGAGAGCAATTTAAGCAATTGAGTGATTTTCTTTATTTGGCCAATAAATGTAAAGTCTTTAATTTTTTAATAGTGTTAACGGAGACATTGAGGAAACGTTCTGAAGATATATTGAGCGTAAATTCTAATAAATAATTTATTTTTAGTTGTTTAACCCATTAACGCCCGCCGTACTCAAATGAGTACAGTTATTTTGGACAAACTCTGCCATCTGATGGGCAATATATTAAGTTGTTAGCTATCGCGCCATATTTTATTAATCTCTGGGCAGTGTTTACTGATAGTTGACAGGTATTGGTGTGTTTTGAAAAGATTAGTTACAGTTTTAAAATATGACTTATTTTTGAACCTGGTAAGTAAAGTGAATATAATATATTTAGGAGGCTATTTGTATAATTATTGACAAATTACGCCAAATATCTATTTTATATGTATTAAACAAGTGGTAAAAATTAGCCATAGATTCATAACCTCATTTCCTGAAACGTGAATCAGCGCCAAACACGGATGTACTCAAATGAGTACAGTGGGCTCAAGTATGAATTTTTAATTTCAAGCTACGTTTTGTTTCAGAAATGGATGACGACTTTCAACCAATAACGACCACAAGTTTTTATGGTCGAAAAATATTTTCTACATTGCAAGAAGCTGCGGATGCAATTGAGAGTCACGAAGACGAGGCTGATGTAATAGTCCTGCCACCAGAACCGGATGTTCTCACCGATCAAGAAGAGTTTGATGATGATAATATTATGGAAAGCCATATTCCAAACGATGTGCCCGGATATATTGAAGTAAATTTTGGCAATACAGACGAATGGAGTGACAGTGACGACGAGCCATTATCAATATTTGTCAGCAAGCGTCCTCGTGCCGAAGAGAGAAATCCTGTATGGGAGAAAATTGAGCCGGTTTATGTTTTCTCACGTGACACAGAAAATGGCGCTAATGATCGTTTAGAAAAAGTAAAGGAAAGTTTACGTGGCTATAATCCAGTGCAAATTTTTGAGAAACTGTTTGACGATAATGTGTTCCAACTTATGATAGAGCAATCAATTATTTACTCTCGACAGAAAAATAATCATGATTTTTTTGCTACCATGGAAGAAATGAAAATTTTCATTGGAATTTTGTTGCTCTCTGGGTATCACAAATTGCCACAACAGAGGATGTATTGGTCTTTAGATGAAGATTTAGGTGTCAAAATTGTTTCGGGATCTATCTCACGCAATAGATTTCTAGAAATAAAAAGATACCTACATTTTGCAGATAATGATAAAATAAATAAAAATGATAAAATGTTCAAGTTACGGCCCCTTATGGACATTTTGAACAAAAATTTTAGACAGTGGGGATTTTTTCATAAATCTCTGAGCGTGGATGAAGCAATGGTGAAATATTTTGGGCACCACTCCGCCAAACAATTTATCCGCGGAAAACCAGTCCGCTTCGGATTCAAGGATTGGATGTTGTGCAGTTCAACCGGGTATTGCTACGCGTTTGACACCTATTGTGGCAAAAACAGTGAGAAGAAGGGGCAATCACTTGGTCTTGGTGCTGATGTGGTAATTTCATTGCTAGAACATCTAGACAACCCAGCTGACCACATAGTGTACTTTGACAATTTTTTTACCACTCTTCGTCTCATGAACCAATTGACAGCTAAAGGTATACGTGCTACAGGCACTATTCGTGAAAATCGGCAGAAGAATTGTAACATTCAGTCTTCTAAAATGATGGACAAAGAGGAAAGGGGCACATACGACTATAGATTTAACTGTGAGAATAACTTACTGATTGTGAAATGGAAAGACAATAGTGTTTGCTCAATGGCTAGTAATCACGATTTTATTGAACCTCTCAACTACGTCAAGCGATGGTCGCGAGCCAAAAAGGAGATAACTACGGTCCAACAACCTTTGGTTTTTCAAAATTATAATGCTGGAATGGGCGGCGTTGACTTGAATGACCAGGCAACAAATACTTACAGAATAAGCATAAGGGGCAAGAAATGGTGGTGGTGTTTATTCACTCATATGGTCAATGTAACCATGACAAATTCCTGGAAGTTACATCAAATTTGTGCCTCGCCGGAAGAAAAAATTAGCCTTCTTGACTTTACAAGATATGTTGCTCGGTATTATCTCCGCTTGAACAATAAAACTCGTAAAACTAATCGACCATGTCAAGTTCCTGGTGCTGTGAGATATGACAATGTTGGTCACTTCCCAGAGAAGATTGAGAAACAGCTTAGATGTAGCGTGTGCCATTTGCGTATTAGATGGCGTTGTAAAAAGTGCATTGTTACACTTTGCGTAGAAAGAGAGTGTTTTGAGAAATATCATACTTAAAAATATTTTATTTATGACCTAAGTTTTTTATTTGTATAGGTATAACAAAAATAACTAGTATATTTTCACTTATTTTGTTAAAAATACTTTAAATAGATATAGTTTTGTAGTATTAAAGGAGTAGTATTTTTATACACCCATTAGCCCAGTGTACTTATTTGAGTACGGCGCCATATTGCATTCCTAAAAGCCCAGATTGCCATTTTTTTATATTTCTAACTATTACTTACACCCAACTGAGTTACTTTTTCTAATAAAATTGGGTATTTTATTATTAATTTGCATTTGGGCCTTAATGGGTTAATAGAGATAGGCCTTTTTGTTATAATAATAATAAATTTATTTCCGAACGAATAGTATGCATACGCCCATGTAAAATAAATTTAAAAATGACGGTAAAGTATTCTTAATAAGAAAAAAAATTATACAATATTCACATTATGGAATACTTACAAGAAAATACAATACATACATACAAGAAAAAATCTGAAAATCGCCAAAAAATCAGAAACAAATATTTTTAAATACTTTTATTCGCGTTGGATTAGATCAACTGAAAACAAAGACAATTTTCATGCCAGAAGCAAAGACAATAATCAATTAAAATACTCTTATCTAGCTTATTTTAATAATATTGTTTTTTATACAAAAATGCATTTTTTTAACTAATATATTTTTAGTAATTTTTTAGTTAATTGGGGGCACTAATACAGGGCATTTAAACTCACGGTCCATATAATAAAAACCAAAATTTATTCGTTTTTTTTATACAAATAACTGTGGAGTAACAGTTTCTCTTTTCCCTGTTCAATGATAACAAATTCGACTTCCATTCTACGTGTTCCCCCATTCCCCCATGAAAATGTGATTCAATTCAAGAACTGATATGTTAAATGACTTCCATCTTGATTCGGAACATAATATTTCTCTGCCCTGTACTGTATTACAAATTTTTCTAACCGGTCTTCATTCATATATAGGACATAATGATAATAACTAGAGTAGAATTCGAGAATAATGAGTTCCCTCCACAGACTTAAAATAAAATATAGACTACACTATTTACATCTCAACGCGGTCAAACAATCTTTTTTGTACACATGTTTACTTCTGGGTACAGTCAACCGAGCCTTCCTCATCCAGCCTATGTTGTCACGTCTTTAATATTATCAATATTTTTTTTCTTGTTATACACATATATTGAGATATTAATACTACATTTTAATAAAGTAGGTTTTAATATTCCATAGATGTATTAAATAGTCCGTATACTACTAAATTATAAGTCGAATACTGTTTAAAAAGGATAAGTTTTTTACAATATGACAACACCGATTAGAGGCGAGGGAGCCTATTCATTCATTTATTACCTTGTAGTACGCGTCGCACGTGTGCGGTAAAGCTTTGTTGCCGCTATGTCCCCGGCTGTATTAACGCATTTTCTTAGCTTGTAGTCCTTTTCTGTTCAAGAACTATAAAATATGATTCGCCAGTGCCAAATTTGCAAGAAATTTGACTTAAATAATCCATTTAAGTCTTGAAACGACTTTCGACTGGTAGGCAACTCTCAATTTACCCATTGGGAGTCAGTGGCGTTGTTGTAGAAAGGCGCTTATTTAGATAATATTTTAGTAAAATGTAAAATCTGAATTTTTTCTTTTACATTACATTATTTACTTACTTACATTGTAACAAAATCATAATTATAACCCTGTTAATAATTAATAATGTTTTTATTAAAAATATATTCCGGTTTATTCTAAAATTATCTTCAGAATCTGAAATAACATACAAGAATTTTAAAATGGTATTACATTATGAAACAATATTTTTTAATATACCGGGTCGTCTCAAAAGTGGCTCACCTCCTATAATTTTTTTATTTTTTCAGATAAAAAAAAAACAGATTTGTATGTTAGTAGGTATATGACATAAATTAGGATCTATTGACGTATTCAATTGTTTTTGGTCTCTTCCTGTTTCACCAATATTATTACATCTTTTGATTTTTAAAGGCACCCTCGGTATATTGCTACTTTATTCGATAAAAAATGACACTCTGAATAGAATGACATATCATATGTCAACTTTTGACATTGTCGCTTAAAAACAAATCGTATATCGAACAAAACCGAACTCTCCGTGTAAAATCCGAGTGCTTCCGAGGTTTTGGTGAGTTTTAGTGTCGTCTCGATTCTTCTCGAACGTTCGAATGAATCATTACGGTGTCTATTCTTTAGTCCTTATTTTGCGATGTTAAGGTCATCTGGGGGCGGGACATATAGTTGGGTTAGGTCGAGTCCACACGGATCGGGTCCCCCAAGAACGGTAAACTAATAGGATTGCTCATCTTCATAAGACGTACGTTCGCCTCTTCCCGCGCTTCAGCTGACAGTTGTGACGTCATTGTAGTCCTTGTCAAAGCCTTGTCATGATAGTGTGTATTATTAGTTGCCTATGGTAAACTTATAAAAATAACAGCTGAGAAATTTTGAGTTAATTATTTTGTATATTTTAAATGTGAAAAAGGTGTCTTTAAAGTTTTTAGAGCTATAGAGTGTATAAATACGTTCATTTTGTGTTGTGGATGGTGACAAAGTGCATACTAAGTGCCCACGATTTTGTTTATTAATTATTTTAAAGCAAAATATGGAAGTACTCTAAAAAAAATGCTTGCAAAAGGTGATGCTGGGAACTGCTGTTCTTAAAAATGCATTATCCGAGTATTTAATACGATTTATACAGTTAAATTTCTATACTGCATACATATAAGGTGTTTAAATAAATAAACTAAATAATGAACGTTTTGCATTCGGTAACCAATAATGCACGTGTGTGTATTATTGGTTGCCGGATAAGGACTGATAACCATGACAAGGGCTACAATGACGTCACAAAGCGAGTAGTTTTCGCATGCACCTGGCGGACACTTTTGGCTGAATGAGCAGTCCTATTAGGTTAACTGTTCTTGCGGGTCCCCAACAATATTTTAATTTGTTAACTTTTATATATTGTAACTTCGTAACAAATTGTCAGTAATTCTAGTATTTCTGACGTTAAGTAGAGTACTAAAATTTGGTTGGGGTTTTATAGAGGCGAAGAAAAAGATACGAGTAAAGATATTTCAGTTCAGTCAGATGCTACAGGGTGTTCAAAAGATATTTAAAAATTTCAACTACTTAAAACTTTAAAAAAATCTTAAAAATGAACTTTATCGTTGGCTCACCCTGTACACCGATATGTTTCAGGTACGAGATGTTTCTTGTAAATCCTGCGACTCTAAACTGGGATGGATGTACGAGTTCGCAACGGAAGACAATCAGAAATACAAAGAAGGCCGCGTTATATTAGAGAGGGCGCTGGTTACGGAAACCGATGGAATAGACGAAAGAAGATACTACGTGAGACAGGATAATTAGAGGAATTATATGGAGAATGCAATTTGAGACAAGCGTATAAAAGTTGTTTTTAGTAGAAATACCGTGGGTTAGTAGGTATATACAGGGATGTTGTTTTGTAAAGATTGAGATAAATAAGTACCCGAAATATATGACGTGAAGAGGCTTTATTAGAGGAAGCTTAGAACATAACTAATCAATTAGTATTAATTAATAATATATAAGTATCTGCAGCAGATCTCCTAAAGAAACCGTTATCAATTTACTTTGTAATCTTATTAATTTATATGGACATGAAATTGAAGAATTTTATACGAAAAAAATCCAGTATTTTTAAATATCTTCTGATTTTGTTCACGTTACCTAGTTACAACCTGTATAATAATTTATGTATTGTTTAAACATAATATACATAGTGATCTAAGATACCAAATGATCGGTAAGTTTTATGACCAATTTAAAAATATCTATCTATCTAGTGTATTTTTTGTTATGATAAATACAGAGTTCGCCTCGGTTGATTATACGAAAATGGAAAGATTTAGAAACAAAATCTTTTAGGGGTATATGAGGGAAGGGCAATGTGCATAATTTAAAAGTATTTTGAAACGTACAAGGTATGTCAGAACTAAGATCCACACCAAAGTGTTATGGAATACCCATCAGTATATTTAAAATAGATCCAGCAATTTTTGGTACCCCTGTATGTGTGTAAGGAGGCGCTAAAATTTTTCAGTAAAGGTTATATATCATTAGCACAAGAATTAATTCTGAAAAGTAATGTACAGGATGGGTCAAATTCGACGCTTTTAAATGGAAACTTTCTGTAGGAGACAAAAACTAATATCGGTGTCTGGAGCTCAATTTTTGTCAAAAACATGATGGTGAAAACCGCATATCGATATCTGTTTCGGAGTTACGGGGTGTTTTTCAAAAATGTGCATTTTTAATAAATCGCTGTAACTTTTTTGCTATGGAAAATTTTGTATTTTTATGAAAACATTTCCAAAGCACCTTTTTACGTAGAATTTAATGGTTTAAGTATATATTTTTTTAAATTAATAATTTAAGAATTATCAACAGAAAATATTTTTTATATGGGACACCCTGTATAATTTTAATTTATTGAAAAGAATTTAAAAACTCGATTCCTCTTCGATATATAGAGTAGATAAAAATTCGCCCGCTTTAAATAAGTAGGCTTTGAACGGCACCGGCTGTAATGCAAAAAAATTCTAGCTGTGAGCATCAATTAAAACGAAAATGATATTTGCTATGAAAGATGCAGAATTTTATAACAATTTAAAATATATTTAACCAACATCAACACATTTAAACTATATCTAATAACAATAAAAATAAACAGCAAACCAAGACATGACATTTTGCTACAGGTTTTCGACATATCGACCGTCTTCTGTTATGGACAGACGGGGCAGTTTTTGAACATTTCTCGCGGAATTCATTAACTCAGTGGGGGTGAAAGATACCCTCTCATAACTGCTAAGTATTTCTAATTCTTGTCTAGATTATACGGAAGAATAAGGAACCTTTATTCTTCCGCAAATATATCCATAGGATTAGATCCATGGGCACTAAGTCAGGCGGCCTCGACGGCCAACGGCTGGGATGTTGGTTAGCTATTCAATTATTCTTGAAATTGGCTATAAAAATTTGCTGATAACTTCAGCGTTCAGAGGCGGTGCCTCGTCTTGCTGAAAAAATATGTTTTCGAGTTCCATTAAGGGCATGTCATCAATAAGGGGTCCAAAGCCTACTAGTTAAAAGTGGCGAACTTTTAAAAATTCTGTATTTCGAAGGGGATTATAACAAAATATCAAGTGTGCTATAATTTTGGAAAGGTAATTTTAAATTATTTTCAGTTAATTAAAAATATAGAGGGTGTCCCAAATAAAAAATCAATTTTTCTGTTGTTAACTCTTAAATTATTAATTTAAAAAAAAATATACTCAAACCATTAAATTCTACGTAAAAAGGTGCTTTGGAAATGTTTTCATAGAAATACAAAATTTTCCATAGCAAAAAAGTTACAGCGATTTATTAAAAATGCACATTTTTTAACATCATGTTTTTGATGAAAATTTAGCTCCAGACACCGATATTAGTTTTCGTCTATTTCCTATAGAAAAAGGTGTTTTCACCAAGTTTTTACCCTGTATAAGGTGTTAATAATCTATTCTATTCTAGCCTGCACATTTAAATATCTTTAAATATCTCAAAAACCAAAGATTTTAAACATATTTAACTCTTATGATAAATGCCTTTTTTAGGCCCAAGAATCCAAAAATGAACTAAAATACCGGGCATTCCATAAGAAAAAATATAACTTTGGTATGGATCTTAGTTGTGAAACACCCTGTATATTTCAAAATAATTTTAAAATGTGCACATCGCCTTCTCATATATACTCATAAAATATTTTGTTTCTTCATCTTTCCGTTTTCGTATAATCAACCGAGGTGAATGAGGTACCCTGTATAATAGAATGGTTTATCTGTTATAATTCTAATCAAAGCTTGATCATAAAACTTTTTGATCGCATTGTACATTTCATTCTACAGGGTGGTCTCGGGAAATTTCGTCAATATATTTTGCCGATAAAAGAAAAAAGAAGTAAAGAAGTTTGTATAAATTTATGTCCAAAATGCTTCGTTTCGGGAATAGATGGTGTAGAAGTTTCATTTTTATTTATTTTTTCATTATTTGGATGGAAACTGATGTCTGACGGTTCTTTTTTGCATGGGAAATCGCACTTCGATCTTAGTATGACTCCTGCTTGTAGGGGGCACCACCTACATGTTTTTAACTGTTTTTATATGTAATAACTTTTCGTCCGTACCTGTATTACGAGAGAAAAAAATACATTTTCCCAATTTTTACGTAAAAAAGGTCTCCATGTAATAATCGCTATTCAATCTCAACCGTTCCCAGGATATTTGAAATCGAAATAATCAATACATGGCCCAAAGACATTATAAAGATAGACCGAACATCTCATTCATAAATACTCGTTGGTAGTGTATCAAACATTCCAATGTGTCAAACAAGGACAGAAGAGACAGAGAAGTCTAAAATTTCCGACCCCGGCAACTAGGCGCATTTGGATTGTTCTAATGGCCAGTGGCGTATCGTTTTTTGGAACGAATTTAATTGGTAAAGTAAAAGTAAAGTAATTAGTAAAATTTTTTCTCCATATTAATATACTACATTTTAACACTTTTTCGTTAGATGAGTTTTGTTATAAAGTCTAATATAATAATATAATTAATATCCCACATATACTTATGTTGAAACGTTAGTAGGTAGTTTTCGAAAATCGCTCCAACGTCGATATTCAATTTAAACTTTCAGTTACTTCTATATAAACTTTCAGTTACTTTTGGATATTTACAGGGTGACTCAGGCTTCCAAAACAGTACTATATTAGGTCTGTGGTTGGTGACTTTTCTTTCAATATTTTTTTAGAATATGGAGGCAATAGTAAAGCACATTTTAGACATTTTTGTAATCATAGGTGGCCGGAACATATTTTCAAACTAAAGTTGTAGATTTGCCATTAAATTTTCATTCCAGAAATACCTAGGGTTGCCACCTGCCCTTTTTTGAAAAGGACAGTCCTTTTTTGGAATAACTTGTCCTTTTGACTTTTTTTGACTTAAAAAGTCATTTTTATTTACGTATTTTCCCTGAGAAAATTACCTACAGCAAACAGAAATATTATTTTCGTCTGGCTTATAATAAAGTTTCAAATGCAACGTTTATATTCAAATTTGTTATGATCTACAACAGTTAGGTAGTAATTGAGACGAATTATATTTCAATTACCGGCTACTACGTTCTTGTTTTAATAGATCAAAATTCAACAAATATAATTAAAAATTATTTTAATTGTGAGGGGCACCCTTGTAGGACGCCTATGTACGATTACGGCGGAAACAATACCTACCTGTGAAAAGACAAATTCCGGTAATTTGAGCTTATTTTTCCACACATTTGACACTGTCCTACCATATTGAAAATTCGCAGATTCAAAAGTACGTTAAACAAAAACAAAAACTACTGAAAAACACTGAAAAGTTCACTTCGGACTTGATTCCGACTTCAAACACACCGTAAGCTAAACGTAGTACGCTATAACGGACCAAGGGCCGTCGCAAGGGGTGGTGGGACGGACGGCTCATTTCATTCTGGAAGACTAGCAGCGACGTTGCCAATAGTTCTAGACGTTTCAGCATATTAAACAGTAAACACGTCCTTTAATAGTAACGCATATATCCTCTGGTTAATAACCATATTATTACGCATGCTTCTTTAAAAATAAACTATTAATTTAATTAAGAAATTGAGATTTATTGATATCCGGTGAAGGTTTTAAAGTCACCTTTTCTGCAAATCAAACTAAGTAGATAGGCGCAAATTTGAGATGTGGCAATGTCGCGTTCTCTATCTCAGTTGGTTTTTACAGTACGTAGTCAACCTCCGATTGTTTGACCGGGTTAAAATGCTTAATGTGATATCTGTTCTTACTAAATCTATGACATGGCCTCATTGACAAAAAAAAATTGTTTGCGCACCATGTCCGCAGGGCCACTGCCGGCTGAGATCACACCTACAGAGGATGGGACTGGTGGAAGACGCCGAATGCCGACTCTGTATGGAAGATGACGAAACAATGAAGCACGTTATGTGTACCTGCCTCGCTGGGGGCAGGACCAGGTTTGAGGTGTTTGGCAAACCCACGCTAGACCTATCAGACCTAGAAGACAAATCACCCTCGAACATAACGGCCTATGTTAAAAGGCTGGGTCTTGAGGGTGAATTTTAATGCTCTTTTTCTATTAAAGAGCTTGTAGAAACTGAGCAACAATAGGCCCTCGCGGCCTCAGTGGAGGGTCCCACTCTTAGTAAAATACAATACAATACAAATACAATACCATGTGCGCATATTTGCAGTAAAACTTCTTACTTCCGTTTGTCTGTCTGCCCGTCTGAGGACTCCATTCGGGTACCTCTATCCACGTGCCTAGTTTGGTTCCAATCGACCCATAATTAAGGAAAATGCTGATGAACGAAACGTCAAGGGTGTCACCCTGTAGCTCATCTTCAATTATGCCGAAGTCGACCCATATTTTTCTCCAATATCAAATCATTAGTCCCATCCTGATGAAGATGTAAACGAAACGACGTATCCAACTTTGCAGGGTCGGACACATAGCCTACCCACCAAATTTGGCCGCGATCGGACGACATCAGCTTTTGACGTTTCTTACGTCAAAACTAACTGTCACAGTGACACGTGTCATACACAGTCAAGTTGGCCTTGGTTTAAGCTTACTTACTTAATTACCGCAAAATAAAAACACTAAAGCTTGTCGCCCACTTGTCCGGCACAGCACGGACCGTAGCTGCTCGTCGCCTGCAGGCGACGGAGAGCTTGGTCGCCCACTTTGCCGCAGGAAACCGGCAAGCCGTCACGTCGCGGTCGTATGTTGCGTAAAGATCTTTTGTTTTAGTTTACATGTAGCAGTGACAGAGTCACTATGTGTGAAAGCAGCAGTTCTGATGAAGAAGTTATTGAAGCGGCCGCATTTTGGCAGAAGAAGAAGAAAAATAAATAGAAGATAAAGAGAAAAATGTGGGTCCACCCCATTAATCAAAAGCGGACTGAACGCGGAGAGTCCCATCATTTATTTAACGATTTAATTTCCTAATTTTTTTTCTTAGGACTGCTTTCTCGGACTTAACAATAACAACTGCCAAAAT